CTGTTCTGTTAAATTTTGTTATTTTGACTGGGGTGAGATGATATCTCATAGTTGTTTTAATTTGCATCTCTCTTAGGGGTAGGGATTTTGAGCATTTCTTCATGTGCCTGTTAGGCATCTGAATATTGTCTTCGGTGAAGTCCCTGTTCATATCCTGTGCCCATTTTTCTATTGGATTATTTACCTTTATCTTGTTGTGGTGTTTCTTTTACTTTTCAAAGAGAGGAGACAACTGTGGGGGAAGGGTGGGCAGGGAGAAAAGTGCAACAATGAATGAATGGAAATCCAAAATCTCTGTAAATGTTCATTAAAATTAAAAAAATAAAATTTAATTTAAAAAAAGGTTGCTGAACTAGCAAGTGTTTTGTTGTGCATATTTTTACCATAATAAAATAAATAACTAATGGCCAGTCCTAGGACACAGTCTCCATGCCTACTGAGTGACAGTCACTCTCTGGCTGCCCCAGGAATCTGAGCTGACTTGCTTCCTGGATGATTCTGAGAGACATTAAAGTTTGAGAACTGCTGTCCTGGGAGTTCAGATCTTGTATTAAACTTATATCCAACATTACACATTTGATAGCACTCTTATTTACATAGTGACCCTTTGCCACCAATTTACCTTGCTGTTTCTTCCCTGTTCTTCCCCTCTAGGCAATGTGGCTGATGTTACAGAATGATGAGCCAGAGGACTTTGTCATTGCCACTGGGGAAGTCCATAGTGTCCGAGAATTTGTAGAGAAATCCTTCCTTCACATTGGAAAAACCATTGTGTAAGTACAGCCATGAGCTGAGTTATGTTCAGTCACCAGACGCAGAAGCACTGATTAGTAAATATACTGGTGCTATTGCCTCAGTTTTCTTTTCCTTTTTCTCCTTCACTCGATACCAAACAAAACTGTCTTAAAGGAAGTACAACCAGGATAGTCTTTAGAGGCAAGGATGGTGAAACTTCTCATATTCTTTGGGCCTGTTGTCTGGACAGGCCAGTCCTGAGAAACAGACAAGCATGCTGCGTAAGTTGGAGGATCAGAGAAAGAGAAAAAAAAAAAACCAACCCTCAACAGAATGAATTGACTAATGACCTTAACAATGGGCTTGAGTATGACAAGAGATCATGAGGATGAAACAGGGTAAGGCAGAATGCAGACCTATTGTTCACAGGGTCCATGTGAGTCATAGTTGATTTGATGGTATCTAACAACCACCACCACCAGGACCTTCACCCTCTGATAAAAAAATTCAGAGAGTTCAGTGAGGATCTGGGACTTTGTCCTTCATGACCTCTAACCTCAGATAGATGTCACGTGCTTTTCAACATCTAAATTCAGTCTTCCACTGTGATGTTACTGTGCTAATTTTCCTCTTATTAGTGAAATGTTGAGATCCATATAACACAACCACACATTACACAATAATTTTTATTTCTTATACTTGAAATCATTAGAAAAAATACTGAAAAGTTTTAAATACATTGCAAAAAATTATCTGTTTCCTGTGGAGACAGTAACTCGCTAATTTGATGCCCTATTATCCTAAATACTTTCATATGAACTTGCTGCAAGCAGTGGCATTCTACTACCAAAATAAAGGATCAAAGGTGGAGAACATTTGCTTTATGATCTTAAACTTCTTTAAATTGAAATCAGAATTGTACTGGAAAAAAGAGAAACTCAGAGATACATTAAACAGAAAAGAGGCTGAGAAATAAACCCTATCTTTAGCCCATTCTTGCAGCCACCATGTCAGTCGATTCACTGATGGCTATCTCTTTTCCATTGACCATTGAATTTCCCAACCATGATGAAGGATGTCTCTGGAGACTGGCCCCTTGCATAGTTAAAACAAGAGGCAGAGGCTAGGCATCCTTACAGCCAAGGAACTCTCTAGTTTTATTTCTTCCAGGAAACACTCCTTTTTCTAGCAGTCCATAATATATTCAGTATTCTTCATAAACACCATAATTCAAATCTATCAATACTAAGGCTGACTATATGCTCAGAATACAGATGGAATAAGTTTATTGAAAGGATTTAAACCTGACACATTCCTTTTCTGATTCTAACCCAAGCAGTATCTGCTTGTTCTGTTTAAAGGACAGCCTCTTCCTCTATGCACTGGTTCCACGTGAGCAGAATTAAGTGTTCTGAGATTTCCATCTTTCAGAATGTTATCTATAGTTTGTTATGACTCACACTGTCAATTGCCTTTTCATAGTAAATAAAACACAGATAGACATCTTTCTAGTATTATTTGCTTTCACCCAGGATCCATCTGATATCAGCAATAAAATATCTTGTTTCATGTCCTTTTCTGAATCCAAGATGAATTTCTGGCAGTTTCTTTTTCATATTCCCTTTGAATTATCTTTTAATTATCTAAAATAAGATTTTGTTTATATGTAATATTAATGTGGCATCAGGATTGGAGGAAGAGTCATTAACAGCCTGCATTATGCAGATGACACAACCCTGCTTGCTGAAACTGAGGAGGACCTGAAGCACTTGCTGCAGAATGTCAAGAATTGCAGCCTTCAATATGTATTGAAGCGCAACATCAAGAAAAAAAAGATTCTTGCCACTGGGCCAATTGGCAACATTATGATAGATGGTGAAGAGATTGTTAATATCTTTAGTTTACTTGCCTGCACAATCAATACTCAGTACCAGCAGCCACACAGTCAAAAGACAAATTGCACTGGGAAAGTGATGTCAGAGACTTCTCCAGAGTACTGACGAGCAACAATGTCAGTCTGGAGACTAAGGTATGCCTGATCGAGGCCATAGTTTTCTCAAGTGCTTGCTATGTGTCAGAAAGCTAAACAATGTTTAAGGATGATAGAAAGAAAATCAATGCTTTTGAGTTGTGTTGCCGGAAAAGAGTATTGAATATACTATGGACTGTCAAGAGAATAAACATGTTCATCCTGGAGACAGTGAAACTAGGCTCTTCCTTGGAGGCAAGGATTCTGAGGCTTCGTCTGATATACTTGGGGCATGTTGCAAGGAGGGACCAGTCCTGAGAGAGGGACATCTTGCTTGAAAGGGTGGAGGGACAGTGCAAGAGAGGAAGACCCTCGATGAGATGAATTGATTCAGTGACTAGAGTAATGAGGGTATGTCAGAGACAATAACGTTGCCACAGGATAGAGCAATTTTCAGGGGTATTATACATAGAGTCTCTCTGAGTTACAAGTGACTCGACAGCACATTACAACAACAATGTTAATGATATTATTCTGGCATGTATGCCTTCTGGTACATCAATGAATGGTCATGTGATATTCTAGGAGAGACTAATTTATAGTGATAGGAAACAAATTCATCCTTGCCTAAGATTGGATATGAGTTTAAAGTGACACAAGAGGACTTTTTGGATTAGTGAAAATGTATCTATTTTATCTTTATTGTGTTGGTGGTTACATCAATTCATGCCTTTTAGAAAACTTGTAAAAACTATATAGTTGGTATTCATTTAAATCAATAAGGTTGATTTTAAAATAATAAAAAGAAAAGAATTTGGAAACCATTTATTGACAGGAAACTTAAATAAAATTTTCTTTAAGCAACAAGTGTTTCCTGCATAACCAGATGGAAAATATCTTTCTGTCAGTCAAAACAGTCCCAGGTCCTGGGTGCTCCTACTCCTTTCCTGTCTCTCTGCTGCTCCTTTCCTCATTCTGGTGGTTACTAACCCCCTCCCCCACCCCCAGCAGAGGAGACCCAGAAAAACCAGTCCAGGCATTTTTCACTGAAACGTATTTCAAATTGTACCCAATGGCTTCTTTTAAAAGTGTTTTCATCTTCCTTATTATTTTATATAACAGATTAAACCAGAGCCTAAGACTTTAGTAATATATCAAAACATTTTGCTTATGGCATATAACATTTTGTTCTTTTAAAAAAATGTTTTTAAGTTCTTTCAGGAAAGAGCAATAGCTGTGAGCAACTGATGGTTGTAGGGGAATAAAGGCCTTGCTTTGCCCTTTAGTGAATCTTCTTGGTGGCAGTAAACCAGCTGAGGAGCTACTGCACTGCCCTGGAAAGGCTGTGCTATATGTAAGCCCTTCCTTTGTTTCTGTCTCAGTCACACACGCTGAGTCTTGAGTGCAAACGTTCACAACACATATTCTTCATAGCTTGACCAAAAATATAAATTCTTTCTCAAGGCTAGATAATAAAATCATGATGGCTTTGTAAGTGCTTTCTGACATTTATGTTTTATTGTTTATTTTTTTTCACTTCCCTTCCTCTGTGTCTTCCTTGGGCCCTGCATCAGCATACCAATCTCAGCTGGAAGGAGAGTCAGAAAGCCACAGGCAATCCATGTGAGGGCCAGGCTGCACCTCGGCGCCAAGCTCGGTGCAGCTGGTGAACTTTTGACAGGGCCAGTGAGTCTGTCCTGGGAACAGTGTCTTCAAGTCAGTATCCAGGCAGACGAACAAAGAAAGCACGCTGTGGTCTGACCAGATCTTAGAAGACCAAAGATAACTTTTTACTTTAGTAATATTAACTTTATTACAATTGGAGAAAACATTTTTTAATAACATTTCAGCAGTACATGCCTCTCGCTCCCAAGGATGCCACTGTAATTTATTTCATGACTTGCTCAGTTTGGCTCCTAAGCCACTTGTCCATATCTGCAAAAATTGCTGCAGAGCACTGTGAGTGGGAGAATAGCTCTAGTGCCACATTCCCAGCTTTCAGTCCCATTTCTTCAGCTTCATAAGGGAGCTATTTAGTCTGTACCCCCACTTCACAACCGGAAAATAAGAGTAACAAGACTACTCACACAAAGGGATTACACAAGGATCCAATGAGTTAATATATGTTTAGGAAGCCCCCAGAACAGTACCTGATACATCCTAATCTCCAGATAAGAATTTACTATTAGTGAAATGGGTAATTGACAGTGACTGTAGTAGGCAAACAAAGTGTGAAAGCAATATGATCAGGCAATTTAACGTGCGTGGTGACAGGAAACAGGAAGTCAAACTGATGGGTCATGTTCTTATGCTCAAATGGCACTTATCATTCAGGAGAAAGAACAAATTTTTTTGATGCTTGTTTATGAAGGTTTCAGTTTGACAAAGATCCTCTCCCACAATTCACCATTTATCATAATTGTAAGATAAAGTCAGCTCCAATTCATAGCTATTGTCTAATAAAACAATTGTCAAACTATTTATTGTCTAGTAAAACAGAACATATTCCATGGTGCTGTGCCATCTCCTTGTAGTGTGGTAAGTTGTGTGCCTGGTTTTGAGCATCGGGTCAGTCTAACTCATTGAATTCCCTTCTTAGCTAATTCTCTACCAACCATGATAGCTTCCGAGCTGTTGGTCTTTGCTGACTATCCAAAATAATCTAGCTGAAGCCTCACCATTCTCACTTCTAAGGAACATTCACCTTTTCTCTGAGATATGTTTGTTCTTCTGATCCACTCACTGCTGTCTAGTTGATTCCAATTTACAGCAACTCTACATAATAGAGTAAAACTGTCCTGAAGGGTTTCCAAGTTTGTAAATTTTTCATTAATTTTTTACTGTGACTTGAGTGAGGGTTTACAAAGCAGATTGGTTTTTTTGTGCATATCTTCATTTATAACAATTATAATACTAAAGAGACTTAAAATGTGTTTCACAATTTATATAAATATAAAATTGATACAGGTATGAGCTGTCGAAGTCTTTGACATGAATTTAGTAACTTTTGCTTTGAACTTATTCGAAATAGCATATTAACTTTTTTAGGTTAATAGGAGACATTTAAGG